TTCATCAACAGATTGATTTAAAAGTTAGACTGGAAAGACTGGGAGCTACTGTGAATTCATATGAAATTATGGTCACACCATGGGATTTCTAGCCTGCGAAAACATCCGTTTCTCCTTGCTCTTCGCCGCTGGGGACGTTTCGCGCGGAGGAACGACGTTCCTCCGCGCGCAACGTCCCCAGCGGAGAAGAGCAAGGAGAAACGGATGTTTTCGCAGGCTATGGGATTTCGGCCACAGAGTCAAAAGTTAGAACCATCTTACAAGATTCCATCAACCATTCTGGATACAAGACAGAAATACTGATCAAGCCTTTAAAATCCCAGAAGCTTGGAGAGCGGTAAAAAATATCGTCATCTGAATGGTTATTCATGTTTTCTACTTTAGCGTTGCGTTCAATGAGAGGGGTTCGTATGTCCCTAAGGCTGAATTTCAAAACCTGGCGTTTCGTGTATTGAGGAGAAAGCCATGTCGCTGTTGATATTTCACTATTGTATTTGCGCTTTTCTCTCTCGCTGTCGCAGTTTTAACCCATCTTTGTGTCGTTTGTCGCCATTTTTAATGCCCTATGTCGCTGTTTCAAGACAATGTCACTTGTCGAAATATACCCTTACAAGGCCTCTTCAATTGTGGACGGATCTTTTGTGTATGCCACGATTTTTGTGTTTTTCAGCCACCACCACGTAATTACCAACCAGCGGCTACAACGGAAAAGAAAGCAAAACCACCCGCTCGTCCCCCGCCTCCTCCGCCTAGACCAGTGGAGAAAACGGTTAGTTACAAGACGGTCATAGACCGGCTGAACAATTGAACAATATTGTTCGGTTTCAGTTTCAGTTTCAGTTTCTTGAAGAAGTCCAATACATCGACATATTTTTATTCAATGGAATCGTTGTCCCAAAAAAGTGTCGCAGGTTTAAATTATTATTTGTTTAGTACCAGAATTTGTGCAGACTTTTGATTTGTGTAGATTTTGATTGGAAATATGGCTATGGTTATTACTAGCATGTTGGGAAGAACAACAACAACAACAACAACAACAACTAACACTTTTGTGTGACGTTGCATATTTCATATATGCTATGTGCTAATCATCAGCCAAAATTTTTTGACAGTTTATCAATTTATCAATATTTATTATTTTGAACTTGAAAATGGCGCCAAGTTGACACTGAACGAAACGTCGTTCGTTCTTATCCGCGTTATTTTTTACTTGTTTCTGAACAAAAAAACATTTAAGCGGAAGGTTGTTAAAATCTCCTCGTGGTGTGTCGTTTTGTTGTTTGTCATTTGCGTATTTCTTTTATTCTTCTACAGGCGTCTGGTAGAGTAAAATGGCCGACTGTTGACGCCTCCTACTATGGGGGTGGAGGAGTTGGTGGAATTGTTCCAGTCAGAGTAAGTATTAGAGTGTGTAGGGTGTTTATCAGTATGTCTTTGGCGCGGGTAGCGTTTTTCCCCTGGGCATGAGGAAGAGGCCTTGATGTCGTGCTTAATGGGCAGTCATCTTTGTTTCAGATGTACCGAGGGAGGGAAGGGAGGGGGGGGGGGAGGCGGTGCGGGGGGGGGGGGGGGGTGGTTGGGGTTTTTTTTCGTAGGGAGTGGGGTGTGGGGTGGGTGGGGTTTGTTTTTTTGTTTGGGGGGGGGGGGGGGTGTTTTTCCCGGGGGGGGGGGGGGGGGGGGTTTTTGGGGTTTTGGGGGGGCGTTTTTTTTTGTGTGGGGGGGGGGGGGGGGGGGGGGGGGGGGGGGGGGGGGGGTCGTTGGGGTGTACATTTGAAACAAAAACTGCCGCCGATTATAGTAACTGCTGGATCACGACGAGCCTACAGGAAGTAGGAGACAGTCTAGTAATACTTAAACAAAGTTTTATAAACCAAGCAGTTTCCGTTCAAAATTGTAGGTAGATTGGGGAGACAAAGGTTCAACTGAGGCAGGAGCGAGACTGGCAAAGGCTAAGGTAAACTATTCTTTTTGAATTGTACATGATAAGTAACCGCTATGTACTAGAATTTTCCTCGACTTGCCGTACTGATATCTTACAGCCTCCAATGGCAGATAGGAATTTGCTCCTGGTGAAAGATGAACTATGTCCAACCGCATCATTTCTAAACTGGGTCCGACTAAGGTGTCAGCTTGCCCTTATTTTTAAATATAAAAAGGATGTATGCACATTTCCTCAACGAGATTCAACCTACTGGAACCTCTGTAACAAAATGGGCTCATCTGATAGTGGCAATATGGCACGTTTTTGCGAAGACAAAATCGTGTTATCAAGGAATTTATACACTAAGGTTAATGGTTTCCCGCCTTTTCCCCACGTTCACGGCGTCTTTTGCGCGGGAAAAAAATAATAGCTACATCAGCAATTGACTATTTTATTGTGGGTCCCCAAAACACGGAGTAGGAGATAAACATCTCGATTGCTACTATGGTCGCTTTATCTAGTTTCATACTTATGAATCTCCCACGGGTAGTTTATCGCGGTTAGAAGCAATGACAGCAGTTTTATGTTACCCGAGGTGAGTGCTTTATTCGGGGGACTTACATGTAGATGCGTACTTAATATCACCAAAACTGTTGTTTTTATACACCTAATTCAAGAAAGGTTGCTTTGGTAATTTGTCATTTGGGCATACGGAACTCACTTCAATGATTTGCTTGGGTGTCCTCCAAACAATAACTTTCCATGGCCCAATTCGCCAATGCCTGAAGCAACCTTTATTGAATCAGGTAAATATAACTCTTATTTTGCTTGTATTTGTAGCCAACATTGATAAACGATACTGACGATAATGAAGGCTTAGTAAGTTCACCTTCCAAGAGATCTAGATCACCGACACCAGGATGTTGGACGGCCGCTAAGGTAAAAGGCCTAAGTCTGTTCACTCCATATTTCCTCTAACGTCTTGACTGAGAATTATATTGACATGCTGAAGCATTGCCAGCTGATTGCTCCCTTAACAAGGGGAAGGATGGGGGAGGGGGTAGTGGGGAGCAACGGTGGCGCAGAGGTGAGAGCACTCGTCTGCCATATGTGGCCAGGGCTCGAAAAGTCCCGTCCCGTCTTGTGGGGTTAAGTGACCTTTAAAGCTCCTTGCCCATGGGCAATTGTCCAAACCAGTCATCTTCTAACGAAATCATTATCCAAGAGGAGCAAAAAGTGGCCTTGGACAAGGAAAATGTGAGAGCTACTTGCCCAAAGAACAAGCCGGAGTTCTAGGTTTTTTGTCGAACCCTGTGTGGTTTGAGCTTGTTGTTGTTTCTCTCTTCTACCTCAAGAGATTTTTGTCGGGTAGTCTTCTTTTCGTAGCTCCCAAAAAAGGGCGGACCTGCACCTATTCCAAACAAGGCTTGTAATTGGCTGGGAAAACGATAGGGATGGTGACGTAACAATGCCCAATCCCTGAAACGATAGGTAGTGCAGGTTATAGGGAATAATTAAATAAGAGGTTTGGAAGGGTGCTGGTCAATCGAAAGAAAAAAAACAGTACCTCTAAATTCCAATTCGATCTGGAACGCACGTGTACTATCAAGCGAGTTCTTGCGAACTAAGTGTTTCTTGGATAGAAAGAAATTTACAATTTACAATCTTTTGCTTTACAATTTCCTTTTTCTTAGGTATATAACTTTATGTTGCACCGATTGTTGATTACATGATATATAAGCAAGCAAACATTTCCTTGAGATTTTTTCTTTTCTTTTTGGTTTCCGAGATCCAGGAAGAATAAATACGTGCAATCTTGCGGCAGAAACGAGCCTCTAAAGCCAGTTTCACGTCCTGGCCTCACAACAGGGGAAAAAGGAGGCTTTCGTTTTGTTTTAAATGTGATTGATCGAAGTTTCGTCCGCCTCATTTTCCCTTTCTTGCGTTCATGATAAAGACACGATGCGCATAGCGGAAAATTCCAAAAATGAAATGACATTTCGTGGCGCGAATAATCATTAACTTGGATGAATGCATTTGTTTCTAGATCAAAGTTCTTGCCGGAGTGGATGCTATGTCAGAAGGTTATAGGAAAGTGGCTTCACACCGGCCTCGTCCAGGAGGAAACGTACGTTTTTCTTTCTTTTCTTTCTTTGATTAAAAAAATAGTAATGAATAATAATAATGAAAATAAATCAACAAGTCATGCCTGCTGTGCCTTGTTTCACCTTGACCCGTACTAGTTACCTGTTTAACCGGGTGTTATGATAGACACACCTTCTAAATCAACGCGCGGTGTAAACTGCAAAACTTTTGTAACGACCGCTCGAACTTTTAGCCAGCGTCTTGCGTTGAGCGTTATAGGTGCAAATGCACGATTGTAATTAACTCTGAAAATCTAAATGCAAATAATTCATATGTAAGTTCTAAAAACTACCATCCGCTTCTTCAGCGCTTTCTCAAGTTGTAAACGTACTGTTAAGTGAAAAACATCCTCAGGGACAAAATCTTCTAACCAGCACTTAGCGGGTTCCTCTTCTTCTAATCGTAGAATGAACTTCTTCGACACAGTCGTCTTGTTCTTTCGATTGCTCAAGCCACTTTGCCTGCGATTACTTAGTCCTCTTGTAAACTTTGATCTAAACTCATCGTTCGAGAATAGCTCATTGGCGCTGACCAAACTGTCCACGGGCCCTCCGAGGTAGCGCTCGTCACTAGCCCCCCTCGCTGCAGCGAGAAAAAGTTTGCGACGACGAATACCTGCGAGTCACTGGGAATGAGACTCATTAACGCTGACGTAAGCATTTGACAATGGTAGACTCTCAGATATCGCAACGAAGGGCAGTTTGTTATGAATCTTCCGAGGGCGCTGTTTGTTACTTCACTGCTATAGCTAAGATCCAATACTTCTAAAAAAGAGCAGGGGTTTTGAGTCATCGCATTCAGGACATCGTCTGTGATTGCGTGACCATACCTATTTGGAATAGAGTAGCTGTTGTTGTTACAGTTGTCTCTGGCCAATCACTTTTTTTTGTTTTTCAAGGCCCTACCAAAAAGGTCATTTTCAGTGTAAACGCAGTTAGCGGTGCAGAATGCTTTAGGATTCTAGTCGTACTCGAGACTTCAAAACTGTTAAAATACCGTAAAATTCCGAAAATAAGCCCCAGGGCTTATATTTTTCGAAGGCCCTCTTCGAGGGACTTATTTTTGGAGGGGCTTATATTCGGAGGGGCTTATCTACGGAGGGAAATTTGCGTTTTAAAATCGATTGGGCTAGCCTTATATTTGGAAGTAAATTTACCGTTTTTGCTTTGTTTTACTTTGTATTTGAGGCAATTTTTCAAGTACAAGCCCCCCGGGGTTTATATTTGGAGGGGCGATTTAACGGAGGGTTTTTGCGTTACCGGTTTGGGGGGCTTATATTTGGAGGGGCTTATACATGAAGGGACTTATTTTCGGAATTTTACGGTAAACAATACCATCGTCGAAGGTTCACGTTGCAGAGGGCCCATACAGAGACCTTGAAGCACATTTTGGATTGTTGGGGCCCTCTTACGCTACGCGCAAGCTCAACGACTACCTAAAGGCGCTATAGCTTATTCAGGAGGATCCCCTGTTTGGCTATAGCCCAGCCAGCCCCATAGCTTCATGGACCCTGCCCCCCATAAGAGTCTTTGCAAGTCTCCGTCACAAGTATGCCTTTGTGCTACTCTCCCTCCCAAAGGGTTGTGACCCACCAGGGCCAGAGGCTACAGCGCGTTGTCCACAATTACATGCCAGTACAGTTCAATGCAGTTGTAGCTTCATGGTTTTGATGATCTAGAGGTGGCATAAATTAAACCATTACTAGATTAGTTACTTGATTGTACCCCCAACCTACCCACAACAGCAGAGTCGCAGATAACGGAGAAACCGACAGCGTGGTAACATGAATTTTAAACCATTTTCAGTCAGGTGTCTGCACCAAGATAAGTCTACTTCTGAAATTACCGACTTCTCCCAGCGAACGGACATAACAGCGTTGTCCGAAACATTAGTGCCATCGAGCACCAGTGACGTCAGTGACGAGCAGTTATCGATTAGCTTCGGAAGGCTCTCACCCTGAATGTTGTTGCATCTTCGGAGACAGAGTGATTTAAGATTCCTGTGAATAAGATTTTTCAAGATTCGTATTAAACAATGCCTGTCTTGCAATGACCTCTCCTATTACACAGGCTTAAAACTGCGCAAATTGAGCAAGTTTTCACGCTTAGACCTAGTTTTCAGATTACTTATAACGCAGCAGCAGAGAGAAAGGAAATAGCTTCTCGCTGTTTATTAACGTTACATCTCGTTTTCGTCTGACTGACTTAAACATCTCGCCTTCAGTTAATTGTTAATGGCAGCCAAATCTCTGTTCTCATCCAAAATGTTGAGTAGTGATGGGGAAAATGTTCTCGTTCATCCCAAATTCTTTACCTGCAGTGTTCTGCGATGTAACGCACCATTTGATCTGTAAGTGAAGAACAGTAACTGAACTCAAGTATTCTCACAGCTTGCAGCGTGACAAAAACCCGTCGTTTTTCCACTTCCAACTCTAGGCTCTCAAATAATGGATCACTAACCCCAAGGCACTTTACTGTTTGTAGACGTTGGGACATGACTCTAAAGGCGCATGGGTGTCCAGAGCTGTGGCGTATATCCAATTTTGAAAGGTTGTCCGGGAACGATGTCTCCTAGAACAAATACAAATAGCATACAAATTGTCTTGTCCTACCGTGTAGCATGAAAATTTTGCAGGTTCAGATTTTTGCGAATTTTGCGGATTGNAAGGCTCTCACCCTGAATGTTGTTGCATCTTCGGAGACAGAGTGATTTAAGATTCCTGTGAATAAGATTTTTCAAGATTCGTATTAAACAATGCCTGTCTTGCAATGACCTCTCCTATTACACAGGCTTAAAACTGCGCAAATTGAGCAAGTTTTCACGCTTAGACCTAGTTTTCAGATTACTTATAACGCAGCAGCAGAGAGAAAGGAAATAGCTTCTCGCTGTTTATTAACGTTACATCTCGTTTTCGTCTGACTGACTTAAACATCTCGCCTTCAGTTAATTGTTAATGGCAGCCAAATCTCTGTTCTCATCCAAAATGTTGAGTAGTGATGGGGAAAATGTTCTCGTTCATCCCAAATTCTTTACCTGCAGTGTTCTGCGATGTAACGCACCATTTGATCTGTAAGTGAAGAACAGTAACTGAACTCAAGTATTCTCACAGCTTGCAGCGTGACAAAAACCCGTCGTTTTTCCACTTCCAACTCTAGGCTCTCAAATAATGGATCACTAACCCCAAGGCACTTTACTGTTTGTAGACGTTGGGACATGACTCTAAAGGCGCATGGGTGTCCAGAGCTGTGGCGTATATCCAATTTTGAAAGGTTGTCCGGGAACGATGTCTCCTAGAACAAATACAAATAGCATACAAATTGTCTTGTCCTACCGTGTAGCATGAAAATTTTGCAGGTTCAGATTTTTGCGAATTTTGCGGATTGACCTCTATCCGCAAAAATTAGTTCCCGCAGAAAAAATAAAACGCTGCAAAAATTAACTCCCTTCAGTCAAATTAAAAACTCTGCTTTTAATGGACTAGTTGTGTATGTTAGAGATAGGCCTTTGTTTTGTTTTGCTGTTGTTCAGTCCCTTTGTGGAGTAAGATATTACAGTGATTACCGTATTATTCTCTATTAAATATGTAAGTAGAGTGAACTTTGACTCAACATACCTTAAAATAAAAGTTAATTATACCATATTAAGGTTTCTTCCACTTAAATATTCTGCTACTTGAACAGAGAATCGCAAAAATTAGTTCCCACCAGAAATTTCAGTCATCATTTGTTCCCGCAAACCACAAAAAATCGCCAATCCGCTGAATAAAACTCCCGCAAAATTTTCATGCTACACGGTAACTCTCTTCTAGTCATTCGTGATGATCCAATACATGAGCTAGAAATTAACAGCAAATAAAGCGCGTTACTGGCCTGCTGAGCGGGAGGTTGCGTGGTGAAAGCCAGGCGACAATCAACTACGATCGCTGTTGTTGTTTTCTTTTTTAAAGAAATACCTGTAAGATCATTGTCGCTGTGATGTTTGTAAATGTCGCTGTACACAGTTGCTATTTATAGAACCAAACTGAGACAAACAAATTATAATTAACATTAGCGAATTTCTCATTTTTGTCGTTGAAATGAAATATCATCCTTACGTGTCAGGTAGGAGGGGACGTAAAAGGACCCCTGACGTTGTTCGAAAAGTGAGAGGGTTGAAAACCCCGGTGTCATGGTTTATCTCACTTGTGCCGTGACTGGTCTGGGTGGGCGAGGTGGGAACAAACAAGGGCTGAAGCGACACCAAAGTGCATCTTTTTTGTGCTGTCACGTCCGATATTACCTCTTTGGTAAAAGCGCACTTGAGCTATCGAGGCCTGCACGGTGGGAAGCTTATCTCGGTTTCAGTAGCATGAAAGACCAAGGTGTATTGGTATATTGCTGCATTGCTGCCCCCTCCCCCACCCCTCTCCTTCCCCCTTCCTCCCCCTCCGTAACAGGGTTACCCCCAGCAGTGTGGTGTGTCGCCGGTACCCATACATGCACCTGTTCCGAGTGAAAAGAGTCAAAGTTCTTGTCTAAGGAAACAACGCAAGAACAAGACATGAATCCGGACCAATACACATCCTAAGTTTGAGTTGTCAACCTCTTATCCGCCGTGTTGTTCCTCCGTCATTCAACCACTCGTTGCGAGGGCAAAATTGACACTGTCTTTTTTTCTTTTTCGTTATTCTTTCTTTTTGTCTTTCTACCCCTTACTACTCACCTTCCCCGTGAAGTCTTCAACAAATGTTGTGGACTCTAAACAGAGCACTCTTAGTTTAGGACAATTCTCCACTAGAACGTGAAAAACTCTTGGCGACAACGTAAACCCTCCTAGGTTAAGCTTGTATAGCATTGGCACCATCCGAGAGCGAATTACCTTGATAAGGCACATTTCATTGAGTTTATGAAACCGTTTAAGATTCACTGACTTCCACAGTGAACTATCATACGCGATCAACCTCCATGTTTGGCAGACCTGGGCAATGTGGCACAAGTCTGTCTCGC